GTGTAGGCTCGCGGCTCCGCTCACAGCGGAAGAAATGAAGGCTATGTGTTTATGGCCTATCCAAGGCCACACAGCCGGGGTCTGAATCCAGGCCTGGCAGGCTTCGGAGCCTGCCCTCAGCTTGTCCGGACGCTGCCTCTCGGCGGTCACCGTCCTTTCCTTGTGCCACTGGTGAAGTCTGCATTCTCCTGGCAAAGTTTGGAAGCCCTTGGGTCTTCCAGCCTCCAGCCCCGCTTTAATTTTCCTCCTGCTCCTTGTCCCATAGATCAGCAGATCCCGTGGCCTCTACCTGCAGAGGAGATCCAGAATTCCTCACCTCCTCCGACCCGCCCCACTCTGCCTCCGTCGGTTCTGCACCATTTCCGAGTCCTGGCTTCTCCCTTTCCTCCCCCAGCTGCCAGAGTCCCGTTAAGATGTAAATCAAGCCAGGTGCAGTGGCTCTTGCCTCGAATCTCAACAACTCCAGAGGCTGATGCAGAAGGAGCGCTTGAGCCCCAAAATGGAGGCTACGGTGAATCATGATCGTTCCGTGGCACTCCAGCATGGGCAACACCCCTAGAGCAAGACACAGTCTCTAAGAATAAATAACAAAAATGAAAATCAAACCCAAGCCACTCCCCCACTCAAACGCTCTCAGCTCACTCAAAGTGAGACCCCCCCCTTAAGGCCTGCGTCTGGCCTCAACCTCTGCCTTCTCTGACTGGCCCCCTCTCGACTCAGGCCACTCAAGCCCCACTGGTCTTCTGAAGCAAGCCGACTAGGGCCACTGCACTTGCCATAACTCGAATATCCGACTGGCTCTCTCCTTCCTTTTACTTGGATCTTTCCCCAAAAGTCTTTCCCAGCTCCCCATCTGAAATTTCACAGACACGCCTGGATCCAGCATTTCATGGCCTCCTTCCTGGCTTCATTCCTCCTCTCAGCATATATCTGACAATGCATATTTTATTGATCTTGTTTTTGGTCTGTTTTTGTCTTCTAGAGGTCAGGACTTTGTTTTGCTCACTGCTGTGTTCCTGGAATCTAGAAGATTACCTAGCACATAACAGGTGTCCAATATGTTAAATGAATGAATGAATCTCAAACGTTTATCTGGAATAATTTTCTTTTTGCCTGAAACATATCCCTTAAGACAGTGTTTTTCAGCTGGGTGTGGTGGCTTAAGTCTGTAATCCCAGCACTTTGGGAGGCCAAGGCGAAAGAATTGCCTGAGCTCAGGGGTTCAAGACCAGCCTGGGCAACTTAGTAAGACCTCATCTCTACAATAAATTTTTAAAAAGCCGGGTGTGGTGGCACATGCTTGTAGTTTCAGCTACTTGGAAGGCTGAGGCGGAAGGATCGCCCAAGTCCAGCAGGTCGAGGCTGTGAGCAGTATGCCACTGCGTTCCAGCCTGGGTGACAGAGTGAGACTTCAACTCAAAAAAAAAAAAAAAAAAGACTGTTTTTCAACCTTGGCTGTATATCTGCATCACCTGGGGACATTTAAAAAATCCTGATGCTGGTCGGGCATGGTAGCTCACACTATAATCCTACTTTAGGAGGCTGAGGCATGAGGATTGCTTGAGCCCAGGAGTTTGAGACAAGCCTAGGCAACATAGTGAGATCTTTTCTCTACAGAAAAATCAAAAAATTAAGGCCGGGTACTGTGGCTCACGCATGTAATCCCAACACTTTGAGAAGCCGAGGCAAGAGGATTACCCCAGCCCAGGGGGTTCAAGACCAGCCTAGGCAACTTGGTGAGACCTCATCTCTACAATAAATAAAAAAAATTAGCTGGGCATGGTGGCATGTGCCTGTGGTTCCAGCTACTCAGAAAGCTGAGGCAGAAGGATTGCCTGAACCCAGCGGGTTGAGGCTGTGGTGGCTGTGAGTATGCCACTGCACTAAAGCCTGGGGGACATAGTAAGACTCTGACTCCAAAAAAAAAAAAAAAAATTAGCCAGGTGTGGCAGCCTGTAGTTCCAGCTACTCAGGAGGCTGCGTTGGAAGGATCACCTGAACCCAGGAGGTCAAGACTGCAGTAAGCCACGATCATGCCTCTGAACTCCAATCTAGGTGACAGAGTGAGACCCTAACTCAAAAAAAAAAAAAAATCCTGATAACCAAGCCACACCTCAGATCAATTGATTCAGAATGTCTGGGATTACAGCCTAGGCATCATGAGTTTTTAAAGTTCTCTGGTGTTTACAATGAGAAACCAAGTTTGAGAACTGCTATTTTAGAATTCTCCATAGGGATAGTCTTCTGGTGACAGATATGTTCAATTTTAGTTTGAAATCTAATTTTTTTTTTTTTTTTTTTTGAGTCAGGGTCTCACTCTGTTGCTCAGACTGGAGTGCAGTGGCAGGCTCCCGGCCACTGCAGCCTTAACCTGCTGGGCTCGAGTGATCTTTCAGCCTCAGCCTTCCAAGTAGCTGAGACTACAGGCACCTGCCACCATGCCCAACTAATATTTTTATTTTTTTGTAGAGATGAGGTCTCAAATGCCTGGGCTCAAACAATCCTTCTGCCTTGCTCCTGAAGTGCTCAGATTACAGGCACTAGCCATCGTGTTTAGCCTGAAACTTCATGTTTGATAGACATTCTCGTTGGGTACACCTGATATTTCAGCACCTTGAAAAAGGCATTGCATTGTCTTTTAGCTCTCTATTGCCATTGAGACATCATTACTTGTCAGTCTAACTGCTGTTCTTTTTATAACAGCTTTATTGAGATGTAATGTATATATTACAAAATCCATCAATTTAAAATGTACAATTTAGCCGGGTTCGGTGGCTCAGCCTGTAATCCCCCGCCTCTGGGAGGCTGAGGTGAGTGGAATGCCTGAGCCCGCGGGTTTGAGACCCACCTGGGCAACTTCGCGAGACCTCATCTCTACAAAAAATTTTTAAAAATTAGCTGGGTGTGGTAGCGCGTGCCTGTAGTTCCAGCTACCTGGAAGGCTGAGGCGGAAGGATCGCCGGAGCCCCGCAGGTCGAGGCTGCAGTGGCCAGGAGTGGCACTCCAGGAGTGGCACTCCAGTCTGGGTGACAGAATGAAACTCCAACTCAAAAAAAATAAATAAAATAAAATGTACAATTTAGGCCAGGTGCAGTGGCTCATGCCTGTAATTCCAACATTTTGGGAGGTCAAGGTGGGTAGATTGCTTGAGCCCAGGAGTTCAAGACCAGCCTGGGCAACATAGCAAGACTTCGTCTCTAAAAAAGAAAATCAGAAAATTAGCCAGTTGTGATGGTGTACACCTGTAGTCCCAGCTACTCAGGAGGCTGAGGTGGGAGAATCATCTAAGCCCCGGAAGTTGAGATTGCAGTGAGCCGTGATCGTGCCACTGCACTCCAACTTGGGCAACAGAGTGAGACACTGCCTCAAAAAATAAATAAATAAAATTATTAAAAGCATTCAGAGGAGAAGGATCAGAGATTAATTTTTCTAAAAAAAAGCATTACAACATGGATAGACCTCATAAACATGCTTAAAAAAAGCTCTCATGCAACATTATAAGATTTAATTTATGTAAAATGTCTACAGTAGGAAAATCTATAGATATATAAAGTATATTAGTGCTGGAGATTGGGAGATGGGGAAGAGGAAATGTCTCTTAATGAGTACAGGGTTTCTTTTGAGGTGATAAAAATGTTGTAAGATTATATTGTGATGATGGGTTCACAAGTCTGTAAATGTACTAAAAACGATTAAATTGTACATTTTATTTTATTTAATTTTCATTTTTATTTTGAGTCAGGGTCTCACTCTGTCACCCAGACTGGAATGCAATTGCATGATTATGTAGCTGGGACTACAGGTATGTGCCACCACGCCTAACTAATTTTTATATTTTTGGTAGAGATGGGAGTCTTGCTATGTTGCTCAAACTGAACTCCTGGCTTCAAATTCGATTTCTTGGCCTTCAAACAATCCTCCCACTTTGGCCTCCCAAAATGCTGGGATTTCAGGCATGAGCTATTGTGCTTGGCCAAGGATTTTTTTTTTTTGGGGGGGGGGAGGGTTTACACTTTTACTATGATATGTCCTTGTGTAAAATTTTATGGCATTTCATGAATCTATGATTGGTGTCTGATTCCTCCTTTATATATATAATGAGGTGGTTTCTCACCATGTTGCCTAGGCTGGTCTAGAACTCCTGAGCTCAAGTGACCTTCCCACTCTAGCCTCCCAAGCAGCTAGGGATATAGGTCCACACCATGGTGCCTGGCTGATAGCTGATTTCTGTCTCACTAATTCTCTTTTTAGTCATGTCTAATTTTCTGCTTTATCTATCTTTTGAATCTTAAAATCTTGGTTATAATTTTTTTTTTTTTTTTGGAGTTGGAGTCTCACTCTGTCGCCCAGACTGGAGCGCAGTGGCATGCTGCTCACGGCTACTGCAGCCTCAACCTGCT